TCAGATATGTTGTTGCTGACATGCTCTGACCTCAGCCTGCCCTCGCTCGCTCCCCATAGGAACTACCACCTCAGCAATGCATGACATGAACAACTACTAAGTCATGGTTGAATAACTTAGTGAATAACTACTGAGTCTTGGTTGAATAACTTCGTGATTGATTTGGTATTATACATTTGGGTAAATATTTATATAATACAAATGGTGCTGTTACACTCCTTTGATGTAAAGAAATACTGTATACATATTTTGTGAAACATTTGATCTAATTCCTGTCCACTTGTTTTATAAGCTCTGTTTAAGGCTTATCAACTGCCTAACTTCTATTTCCAAAATTAGAAGTTTGATCTTAATTTCCTTTTTCCTTTTTTAACTCCATTCTAATATTAGTATTGTATTGTCATTATACATATTCTACCCATGTCTTATTATTATTATTATTATTATTATTATTATTTACCAAGTTATACCTCTTATCATCATCCAATTCCTTGTATTTTCGTTTTGTGGATGTCATTATACATATTCTACCCATGTCTTATTATTATTATTATTATTATTATTATTATTTACCAAGTTATACCTCTTATCATCATCCAATTCCTTGTATTTTCGTTTTGTGGATTGTTTACATTTCTTTATTTCCTTGTGAAGTTCTTTGTAACTTCTATTTCCTCTTCCGATCATTTTCTTTAAACTTTTATCCTTGATCCTTTCAGTTATAGCCTTGTCTACTTTTTTGTTCTATTGATTTTCCCCTTCTTTAATATTATATCTTTGGATTTAGTTTATTCCTGTTCTATTTCTTACTCTAAATCTTTCCTCTGGCGATATCGAACATCTTTTCTCGGTTTCTTTTTCATTTTCCGAAAACCTGTCTCTGTTTTCAGTGGCCTTTAATCCCATATGCTTCTTCCCAACTTTTTTCTTGTGAATTTCTGAAATTTCATCTTCAATAAATCATTGCTGGGACATGCCCATGCCCAAAGTCTGACCCACCGGTGTGTAGGTTTTGCTAAGCTAATTTCTGCATGATTAATTTTTCGAATATGTTGCAAAGCCGGGCCAAACATGAGCTATTGAAACAAAACACATACCGATACTATTTAGTAACAGGCGGTACATGTACTATTCCACAAAAATTTTGACAATACCATCATCGTGAAGCATTAATATTTTGTCTTGACCCTTACTATAAATCTACCATGGATGATCTCTTCAGAAATTTTGCAAAAACTGCAAAAATTATTAATATTTGACACCCATCTATGTAAGTCACGTGCGCTCTCAAATTAACTATTGTTGTCATCTGTGGGCTTGATGTGGTTTTAGGACAATTCGCCCCAAAAGAATCAAAATAATGGACAATGATAATATTATCACAAAATTTACAGGATTGCATTTCCGAGATGTTTCATTGCTTTCCATACTCGTTAGAGCAAAGGGCCCAAGTGTTCAGAATTTGGGCCACGGAATGTTTTGTCAATTATGAAGTTTGCCATGTTTACTCAAATATGACTTAGTACAGAGGAACAGGAAAATAAAATGCATACTGTATTTTAATGACAAATTTTATATATATATATATATATATATATATATATATATATATATATATATATATATATATATATATATATATATATATATATATATATATATATATATATATATATATATATATATATACTGCAGACAAATGGGTAAACATAAAATGCAGACTCGTACAAACATTCACACACACACACACAAATTAAAGCATAGTACAGAGATTTTATAATGACAAAATGTATAATATAGACATATCAATTACAGAAAACTATTTAAACTTTGCTAATATACTGTATATATTGACGATCCTCTAATATAACAAATCTGAGTTATACTTTTCTGGAATACTGTATAGTACATGCTAGATATAAGGTACTGTACGAGTTGTGAGAGTGGTTAGAGTGCATTGGTCATGACAGCAAATTGTGACTGTAGGCAGGGTGTCAGCCGCGTTTTGATTGGCTCAAATTTTAGCGTCATCAATTTTCCCCATTTCTACATTTTAAGGTCCATTTGTGGTTCCTTCAGCTGCTAAACGTGGTACTGTACTTATTACTAATAAAATTAAAGTGAGAGTTCTATCTTACGAAAGTTAATTTTGCATTTATGTTTTATTATGTGTTCATCCGCTTATTAATATATATATGAACATAATTATGTGTGTTAAATTGTAACCAGTATGGGGTGAACAACACACATTGTCACTCACTTCTTTCAGAAACTGTGCACCAAACTTTTCTAATGAAACATTACAACAAAACTGTCGAGCGTCTTCGAAAGTCCAGAGCTTGTAGGTAGGTAGGCGGGACACCCTGTACTACAACTTGGAGCTCATGTTAGTTTTAAACTTTACTGCATGTAACAGTAACGTCGTGAACACCTGCTACTTGATCTTCCCGCAGTGCAGAAAGCGACCAACAGTTGTGGGAACAAATTCAGTTTCTTTGTTTATTAACCAAAACAATTATATAATAAATGAAGCCTAAAAGATCTTTTTATCTAACGATCCTAAGAAATGGGACCAGCTAATGCCGGGGGTGCACAACATCTTCGTTTCAATATATTATCCAATCAGTGTTTAGATGACATTAATCAGCAGACCAGTCAGGGCACAGCTTTGTGGCAGCGTGCCAACTCTTTTGACTAATTTATAGACATAATGTTTCAAGTTTAATTTCAGTCCAAGTCCTCCCAAGAGTGAGGTGACAGCCATACTGTTACTGCTGCACCTTCGTCCCTCAGAGATGTACAGTATACAGTATAGTAATTTCTCAAACACCAAGGAACTACATGACAAAGTTCTAAGACTCTTCGTTTCAAATTTATATCAATATCATATTGATCTGAATTCAAAAATATTATTTTCCTTACTACTAAATCATAGCTCAGACTCATGTTTGACTTGGATTTTGACAAGTGTATATATGTATATATAAATATAGTTTGGTCCGTCACAACAGACACAGTCTCTTTAACACCATCAGTATATCTTCTGAAAGTGAGTTGGATTTTATAATGAGTATGATTCTATATATATAAATAAATAACAATTATTTTATATTGAAACTCCATCAGAAAAAGCAGATGTATACATGACGTCTGATGTATGGCAGGGGCTGTGTGGTGGTTGGGAGGAGCCGGCAGAAGACTCGGGCAAGACGAGAGCAAGAATAATACGCTGACGGAATAATATAGAGTAAGACTGACAGTGTGAGTGTGCAAGTTGGGGTATAAGATTAAGGCTTGGCAACTATGTGACGTTTAAAGGAATACCAGAGACAGACAGACAGACAAGCCTATGTTATAAAATATTACATGTTTGATTATTGAATGAATGACATAAAGGTCTGAGGGAAGTGAAGAAAGTTGTACAGGATCAATTAAAGTTCCGATAATAAGGGACATCAAAAAATAATTGAAAATTCAATTGAATGAATGGGCACTTAGGGACCCTGGTACATAACCTGGGCACTTAGGGACCCAGGTACATAACCTGGGCACTGAGGGACCCGGGTACATAACCTGGGCACTGAGGGACCCTGGTACATAACCTGGGCTCTTAGGGACCCAGGTACATAACCTGGGCACTTAGGGACCCGGGTACATAACCTGGGTACTTCGGGACCCGGGTACATAACCCACTGTAACTGATAAAACATGAAGCATACAGAAATAATGAATGCTAATAATATTGTATAATATGTGCATATTTGTATAACATGATAATACTAGTGCACCCCAAATACACACCAATATATATATATATATATATATATATATATATATATATATATATATATATATATATATATATATATATATATATATATATAAAACACTTAAAGAACTATTAAAGAAAATACATGTCGGTTGTTCATGAATACAGTATATGGTAGCTTAATACCCCTGTAGGTCACTCACTAAATATACTACACTACAAAGTACACCTCTCTAACTGTGTGTAAATATATGAATATATACAGTACAGTATAGAAATTGTTCTACAGGGTTATCCAAGATGATTATTAAGAGACTAATGAAAGCACATCTAAAATAATGTATAAAAAAATATATGTTTATTTTCTGATTATTCTCACTGCAGACTAACAATAGCAATGTTTTATTATTAATATCAACATGATATTTTTTATCATCTCAGAAGAAACAGGTATTTAAGAAATGATATGGTGCAAAATAAATATACTGTTGATAAAAAAAGGAACATATGCGAACTTTGACTGAAGCACAGCTGAGGAGAGAGTGGGAGTGACGATGACGCCTGCTGGTGTAGTTTGGCTCCACCGCTCATGGCTTCCTTGTACAGTACCTCCAGTCACTAGGAGGACCCAGTACGCCCTTCTACCTCAGTTACTAGGAGGGCCCAGTGAGCCCTTCTACCTCCAGTCTCTAGGAGGACCCAGTGCACCCTTCTACCTCCAGTCACTGGTGACTAGAGGGACCCAGTGCGCCCTTCTACCTCAGTTACTAGGAGGGCCCAGTGAGCCCTTCTACCTCCAGTCTCTAGGAGGACCCAGTGCACCCTTCTACCTCCAGTTACTAGAAGGACCCAGTGTGCCCTTCTACCTCCAGTTACTAGGAGGACCCAGTGCGCCCTTCTAACTCCAGTCACTAGAGGGACCCAGTGCGCCCTTCTACCTCCAGTTACTAGGAGGACCCAGTGCGCCCTTCTACCTCCAATCACTAGAGGGACCCAGTGCGCCCTTCTACCCAGGCGCCCTTCTACCTCCAGTCACTAGAGGGACCCAGTGCGCCCTTCTACCTCCAGTTACTAGGAGGACCCAGTGCGCCCTTCTACCTCCAATCACTAGAGGGACCCAGTGCGCCCTTCTACCTCCAGTCACTAGAGGGACCCAGTGCGCCCTTCTACCTCCAGTTACTAGAGGGACCCAGTGCGCCCTTCTACCTCTAGTTACTCCAACCTCCACTAGAGGGACCCAGTGCGCCCTTCTACCTCCAGTCACTAGAGGGACCCAGTGCGCCCTTCTACCTCCAGTTACTAGAGGGACCCAGTGCGCCCTTCTACCTCTAGTTACTAGAGGAACCCAGTGCGCCCTTCTACCTCCAGTTACTAGAGGGACCCAGTGCGCCCTTCTACCTCCAGTTACTAGAGGGACCCAGTGCGCCCTTCTACCTCTAGTTACTAGGAGGGCCCAGTGAGCCCTTCTACCTCTAGTTACTAGAGAAACCCAGTGCGCCCTTCTACCTCTAGTTACTAGAGGGACCCAGTGCGCCCTTCTACCTCGAGTTACTAGACGGACACAGCCGCAGCTCATGATATAGCAGTTGGTTTGTTCAATACTATATTTATAAGTCAACTTCTCTTAAACGTCACTGCCACTCACACTCTTTGGATGGATGCACAACTGGGCGGCAGATGTGGTTCTTGGGCTTCTTGAAAGTAAACTCCGACTCGCCGACACTTTATGCCTCTTGCATCCATATGGGAGGAAAGTTATGATTCTGTCTTGGTAGAAGACTTGGTAAAACCTTATTTATATTATAACTTGCTCTAAGTTTACTTAGTTGTAAACTTGTTATAACTAAGTCTGGTTAGAGGAAAACTATAGCTAGGGGTTTTCATTTAGGTAATTCGCAACAAGAACCGAGCGCTATTATTAAATTTGATAAACCATATGAAGCTCCTAACTTCTCGTTAAATTAGTTAATTTGAACCTCGAGATAATTACATAAAATGCATCAAAATACATGGCAATATAAACAGCTAACTTTTTTGTTTTACTTTAAATAAGGCAGTAATTGTACAAAGGAGTAACAGGTATATTATAGCTGCCTGAGCTTAACGCGTAGTCAGTTCAATAATACAGTAATGTAGAAAATATTGTCTGTTCCGTGTAGCTTGTGTGCATCTATTCCGTGCCTCCACAGAAGTAATGCGGCACCAGTTGCTCTTTTCAAACTACTTGCCAGTCTTCGAAGAATCCAGCAGGGATTTCCCAGCTAGTGATCTTGGCGTATATAAGTTAAATTGACTTCAGCGTTGCTGTTCTTAAATGCCTCCGTAGTTAAAAATACTGTACTTGTGTCTAGACAGTTGTGGTTGTGTGCTAGTAGATCTGGAGACTTGTCACCTCGTTACTTGGTCGTGGCTGCTGTGGACAAAGCAAGTCAGTATGAAAGCAACAGAAAGAAAAAAAAATATGTTTATGATATCTAAATGAAAATACTTGACCTGTAATAGGTTGGCGGGAGAGACTCAAGACAATGTGATATCCAAGAATGAGAAGTAAAGTTGATGATGACAAGTTGTGAAGCATTCGAGTATTAGTATAACAATAATGGCCAAGGAAAGGGGAAGGTTTTTAGGAAGAGAATATGCAGGTGGCATCATCCTCACTGGCCACGTGTCCTGCGCACGTTTAATGTGCACGTACTGTTTTAAGACTGTTAACTTGTAAAATAACTAAATGCCCTGGGTAGCCGCCCTCCATTAACCGGAACCAGACCACGGAAACTAGATTGTTGGTCAAGGATGTTATATGGTAATCTGCTTTGCTCTGTATCCAGTGCATTTTCTCTCTTTGTCCACTAAATTGTTACACTTGAGCCGAGTTAACGTGAGATAAGCTTGCCTCTGCAGTATCCAGTCCGTATGGTCCAAATTTGACCAATACCTGTAGAATCTAGTGATGGCTACTGTTGATGACTAATATGTCTACTTTTGGTCATGAGAACAGAATCATCGTGTGTGAGACTGCTATAACAATCATAATTACTCTTTAACATTCTTAGCTCTGAATTTATGACCAATTAATGAGTGAAATTACAAGTGTCTGTGCCACCTTCACCCTGTTTGCCATTCATAGGATATCACACCTCCTACAACCTACACCCCACCTACAACCTGCATCCCACCTACAACCTGCACCCCACCTATAACCTGCACCCCACCTATAACCTATTCCCCACCTACAACCTGCATCCGACCTACAACCTGCACCCCACCTACAACCTGCACCCCACCTACAACCTGCACCCCACCTACAACCTACACCCCACCTACAACTTACGCCTCAACTACAACCTACACCCCACCTACAACTTAAACCTCACCTACAACCTACACCCAACCTACAATCTACAATCTACAATCTACCTAGAACTTACATCCCACCTACAAACTAACTGTAAATAATGTTAACATAGTGCATGCTGTAACTTAAGTAATACTACTAACCCAGAGAAAAGAGAACAAATGGTCGAGAATCATAATCTTCTAAAAGGACAGTCGTAGAAGCCTGGCCAATCAAGTGTTGGTACACAAATACCACACGTCTAGTCTATGCTGAAGCGACTTAAACTAGTCTATGTAGTGATGATAGTGTTAAAGGAAGCTACCATTTATTTCCTCTACTGACGTCCCACCGAGTGCCGAATAGCTGAGTGTTGTCTGACGGTTATATCTGAGCGTTTTCTGAACTAAAGTTATGCCTTATTTTATTAACGTTAAGCTTTATAATTGAATGAAAAGTACAGATATTAAAATTACAGTATATAGGAGTAGAATTGACTCCAATATTGCTATATCAGGCCTAGTTAAGACTCTTGGTTACAAAAAATACTGTAGGTGGAAGAGAACTACATTGTTCAGGCTGAGTATATCCAACACCAAGATGACCTTACCATCATGTTTAAACTGAGGCTTAAACAAAGACAGTGTTATATATCGTGAACAGATATTAGTGAAGTGGCGTGGAGGGCAGGACGGGAAGCTGAGGGTGACACTTGACTAACACCTACATTATTTGTCCTTTTTTTCAGTTCAGAAAAAGATAAAAAATATAAACTTTTAATTAAATTTATTTTGCCAAATCGTCTTGGGAGGAAGTGAAGATTCAAACAATAGTCGAAATGAACTAAGAAAAAATTATCAAAGTTCTGTAAGTTTACAGTCTATTCTTATTTGTTCGCCCCCTAGGCTCCGTTGTGGGTCGTTGACCTGTGCCCGGGTGGGCACCGCCGTCCCTCCGCTACCGTAGTATTAAGTTTGTAGTGTCGGCTTTAAGCTTGTTAGAGACTTAGTAGAACTGTTAGTTTGTTAAAAAAAATAGTTTTGAGCTAAAGAAACTAATATCCACTTGCTCGAGATAGAAGTCAACACAAGGGGGACTTAAGACTGACCCATGGCTGGCGGTGACTTGGGACAAACGATGGCGATTCACATGTCGGGTTTGGTGGGTGCCCAGGCAAGGCTTTGGGGGTCGCTTACCCACAGTCTTGAACCTTACGAGAGACAACAACAGATGAAGTATGTTACCTCAATAACTGGCCAAGGTACAGTAGCGGTTCCCTCAGACGACGTATTTAAAGTCGTCACAAATAAAATTACTGGAGCTCCGCTGACGAAAAAAAAGAAGAAGAGATAATCGGAAAATTCAAGAAAAAATATGAAAGTAATAAAAACAGAGTAAATGAGTGAATGGGGCAAGTGTAGAGCCAGCGAAGTAGGACAGACTGTCACAACATGCAGAGGATCGCCAGAAAAGCATCAACCCAAGATGGAATAAGAAACTTATGTTAAGTGAAAGTAGCAGAGAGGAGCCAGAACGATCTGATAACGTGGTAAGGGTGAAGAGAGCTGGGTATCATGAATGGTGGGTGTGACGTGAGAACATGAGGTAGATAAGATTATTGTACTGTACATTGTCAGGGCATGGCGAAATTAGTGGCAATAGCACTGCAAATTTCTTGTTCGGGCTTTAAGAAGCAATGTTGAAGAGCTACATATTGACAAAACATATCCTAATGCATCATTTTATTACTGTAAATAATAAACTAATGTTGACTTAAAGAGAGTATTATTCTGAATCCAGGTAATATAATTATATGCACTTATTGTGATAAAAACAAATTATCTTCAACTAACTCATTTCTTTGTGATTATGGGTGTTATGTGCATTGTGTGCACATTTATATACGTTGTGTGCACATGTTTCTGTGTGTTGTGTGCACATGCTTCTATGTGTTATGTGCACATGTTCTTTAAGTTTGTTTCTGTGTGTTTCTCTACTGCATGCATGTATTTCTTTCGTGTGTATTGTATTACTGCATGTTGTATGTGTGTGTCTCAGAGAAGAGGAGAGAAGACCCGAGGCGAGAGGAAGGGGGAGAGAGGGACGGAGGAAGGGAGGGAAGGGGACTGTTGACGAGGGAAAGAAGGAGGGAGGAGAGCTTGTTGAAATGGGGACAAGGGGGAGAGAAGAGTCTGGTGACGGGAGGAAAGGTTGGGTGATTGGGAAAATGGGGGAGAGGGAGGGAGGAGGGGACGGACGGACTGACGGATGGACGGAAGGAGGGCAAAGATCACGATGTAGTCGTATAGTGTTGATCTATAGAGTTAAATAACTTGAAGTCTCTTGTCCACTAACACTCCTCTACACTAACACTCCTCTACACTAACACTCCTCTACATTAACACTCCTCTACACTAACACTCCTCTACATTAACACTCCTCTACACTAACACTCCTCTACACTAACACTCCTCTACACTAACACTCCTCTACATTAACACTCCTCTACACTAACACTCCTCTACACTAACACTCCTCTACACTAACACTCCTCTACACTAACACTCCTCTCCACTAACACTCCTCTACACTAACACTCTACACTAACCCCCCACACCAACACCCTCTACACCAACACCTCTACACTAACACCCCTCTACACTAACACTCCCCACATTAACACTCCCCACACCAACACTCCTCTACACCAACACTCCCTCTACACCAACACCTCTACACCAACACCTCTACACTAACACCTCTACACTACACTCCTCTATACTCAACACTTCACACTAACACCTCTACACCAACACCTCCACTCAACACCTCTACACCAACACTCCCCACACCAACACCCCACACCAACACCCACTACACTAACACTCCCCACACTAACACTCCCCACACTAACACTCTATACTAACACCTCAACACTCAACACCTCTTCACTAACACTCACTAACACACCTCTACACTAACACTCCTCCACTCAACACCTCACACTAACACCTCCACTAACACCTCTACACTAACACTCCTCTACACTAACACCCTCTACACCAACACCCCCACACCAACACCCTCTACACCAACACCTCTACACTAACACTCTTACACACACTCCTCTACACTAACACTCCCACACTAACACTCTACACTAACACTCCTCTACACTAACACTCCTCTACACTAACACCTCTACACTAACACCTCCACTAACACTTCTACACTAACACTTTACAAGAACACTCTACACTAACACTCCTCCACTAACTCTCCTCTACACTAACACCTCTACACTAACACCCCACACCAACACTCCCCACACCAACACCCCTCTACACTAACACCCTCTACACTAACACCCCTACACTCAACACCTCTACACTAACACCTCTACACCAACACTCCCCACACCAACACTCCTCCACCAACACCTCTACACTAACACCCTTTACAAGAACACTCTACACTAACACCTCTACACTAACACTCACACTAACACCTCTACACTCAACACCCTCTACACTAACACTCCTACACCAACACCCTCTACACTAACACCTCTACACTAACGCTCCCCACACTACAACACCTCTACACCAACACTCCCCTACACCAACACTCCTTTCCACCAACACCTCTACACCAACACTCCCACACCAACACATCTCTACACCAACACTCCCACACTAACACTCCTCCACTAACTCCCACACTAACACCCCCACACTAACACCCTCTACACCAACACCCCACACCAACACCCCACACTCAACACTCTACACTAACACCTCTACACCAACACCTCTACACTAACACCTCTCCACTAACCTCTACACTAACACTCCTACACTAACTCTCCTCTACACTAACACACCCCACACTAACACTCCCTCTACACTAACACCTCTACACTAACACCCCCACATTAACACCTCTACACTCAACACCTCTACACTAACACCTCTACACCACTCCTCTACACAACACTCCTCTACACTAACACCCTCTACACTAACACTCCTCACACTAACACCCTCACACTAACACCCCACACTAACACCTCTGCACTA